GAAAGTATAGTTCAAATGCAACCGAGGATAACCCAGAGTTACACTTGCTCACACCCCTGGAACGTAAAGACTTTATCATGCAGTTTCCCGCATGTGCTGTACTGAATCTAACTCTACTGGTCTCTCAAAAGCTAATCCAAAATCTAGGGTCTCCTCCCGAGACCCTTCAATATAAGCAACTGATCTAATTCCCTCTTACTAATGTGCTCCAAGTCCATATCTCATTCTCAAGCTCTAGTAGTCATATCATTTAGGGTCTTGCACCCTGAGATACTCACGATCTCCCTGCTACCATTCTATAGTATGTTTTGATAACTTACCTTCTTCATTTCCTTATCTACTGTGTACTGTGGTACCATATAAGCTCTTTCCCGAGACTTGGTAGTGAGCTCTACCACAGTCTCAGTCGTCAAGTGGAGATCTAACAACTCTTGCGCCTCAATCTCCTGGGCACACTCTGCCCAGAATCTGGTCTAAAAGTTATTCCATGACATAGCATCAATTGCACCATCACTCAACCTTGTACCAACCTCTTCCTATCAATCTCGTGCTCTGTCCCTCAGGAGACAGGAAGTAAGTCAGATCTTGTCTCCTTTGAGACAATGTCTGGTACGAAAAGTGTTGGCGACATCTGCCAACCATCTGCTGCTAACAATGGGGTCCCTAACCCCCCTAACAATCTGAAGCTTCATAAACTCTGAATTCCCGAAACATCAACGTACGGTTCCTTATCATGACTGCTATCTTAGTGCAAAATGTACTCATCCTCTCATCACAATCTCTATAATGCCCTACTTGATCATACTGAAGAACACAAGAATCTGGTCAATGATACTTCGCATAATTCTCAGATGGAATGAACTCCCTCATCTGATCATCAATCTACCCGGCTCCAGAGTCCAAGCCAGATCCCTCGTCGATGCCAGAACTACCATCTGGTCTACCACGTAGCGTCACTATACTCGGTAATATACCACCACTAACATCACAATGCTCATCAAAACTCGAGGGATCTCACACACTACAAATTTCTTGGATTCATCTCAACCTTCCTTGATTCGAGTACGGATCCTCTGCTTTCAGTAGTACGGGCCCATACTACCTTCCACATCTATCTGTACTTTCCTCAAGTACTGCCTCGACTCCACCAATTCACTTCCACATCTATCATCACCACCAATTTGTTTTTTAGTTTTCTTCTTAGGTGTTGAACACTTCTTTTGTCCTTCTCTTCTAATCTGAGGTTGTACTAGTTCGTTTCCTTCATTGTTTTCATCTTCAATATCAATAAGCAATGGATTGGATTCTTCATTAGTGAATTTGTTGAATGCCATCTTTAGTAATATCCTCTCGCTTTTCTTTCTACCTAATAGTAGAATTAAAATACCTTAATCATTTATAACTCAGAATTGAATCATTAACAACTTAAATAATCATAAATTATACATACTAAACACAAACATAATTAAACACATACCCAAAAAACAGAGGAATGTTTACAATAATCATCAATAAACAAACAATGTAATTAACTTACTCACATAAAACAATTGGGACTCCTACACAATTATTCTTTACATACAAAATCATGTACATGATCAAAACCACATACATACTCAATAAAGTACCCATTCACAAATGAATATGTATTTAACAATATACAAAACAGACAACCAACAACAAGGATTAATACTAGAAAAAGTACTTATGTCTTAAAAACAATCGGATTTTACAAGTAATCATTAGTAATAAATGACATTTATACCCTTTGTTATTATTTTTCTACTAAACACCATTCACAATCGAATACTAACATCAATTACTCCTCTTGTCCCCAAAATCAGTGGAATGTTTACAATAATCATCAACAAACAAATAGTGTAATTAACTTACTCACATAAAACAGTTGAGACTCCTACAACATTATTCTTTACATACAAAATCATGTACAGGATCAAAACTACATACATACTCAATAAAGTACCCATTCACAATTGAATATGACTTTAACAATATACAAAACATACAACCAAAAACAAGGATTAATACTAGAAAAGTACTTCTGTCGCACAAACAATCGGATTTTACAAGTAATCGTTAGTAATGAATGACATTTATACCCTTCGTTATTATTTTTCAACTAAAAAACATTCACAATCGAATACTAACATCAATTACTCCTCTTGTGCTACTTATAATGTAAAAAGAAAAAAAGCCCTAATTTTTGGGTTTACGTAACCTTACTTCAGTTCAAAGTAGTCGACTACGATTACACATGTATATGCATCTTAGAACTATCAAACACAATCATAAACTATTGATTTTTAAGCACATTTAATATCAGAATACCGTAAATTCGAAACTCATCTATAATTACCATTTTCATTTAAACAATCAAATACACCAACGTGTTATTTGTAAAACACAACATTTAAATCAACAATCATCAAAGATGAAGAATCACTACAGTTCATAATCGATGATATAAAGAAAAAACGAAAAACCCAACTTCTAGGGTTTTAAGAATCGTTAAATGTACACATTAACAAAAACTAAACACACTAATACACCCGTTTTCCAGTCAATCGATATTCAATAAAGATTAGCAAGCTTACTTCTTCCACTTCGATTGATCAACGACGACATTCCTCCACCTTCAACGACTCACAGAGTTCTGAATGCAAAACACCTCTTCACGGATGAACAATATTAATCGCCTTTCGTATAATTGTTTAGCTGTGACACTATTTTTCATTCAAGATATGATCGAATCACCCAAAAGATTAGAAGTTAACTGTGATTACTAAAACATAGGAACAGTTTCTTTTAATTTTCAAACTTACCTGATATATTCAAATTGGATGACATCATAAAATTACTTGAATACCCTTTTATATTTTTTTTTAATTAAAAAAACAATTAAATTCATTTATTATTTTCTTTAAATTAATGATCAATGAGATCCTTAGATTATAAATATTTAATGTACCAGATTTGTTCTCGCATTTTCAACCTTTTAGACGTTCTCATTTGATCCTTTCCCTATATATATATATATATATATATATATATATATATATATATATATATATATATATATATATATATATATATATATATATATATATAGAGAGAGAGAGAGAGAGAGAGAGAGAGAGAGAGTCAAGATCAAATAAGAAGGAAACTTTTGGTAGGAATGTAAGAAATTTTTTTTCTACATATTGTTTTCGCAAACAAACAAAATGAATCATTAGATGATTCATTTGAAACATGATTCACAAGAAAAAATTTTCAAAAAAACATCTCGATGATTCATTTATATAATGATTTTGTTGTTATTCACTAATATTGTCATAAAAGTGGATTTTTTTTTAATTTATTTAAAAATGAATCATATAGATGTTTTTTTGAGAATTTTTTCTTGTGAAGTATCTTACAAATGAATCATTTAGTGATTCATTTTTTTTGTTCGTCAAAAAAATATGTAGAAAAAAAACTTCTTACCTTCCTACCAAATTTTTTTTACCGGATCTATATCATATATATATATATATATATATATATATATATATCTATATATATAATTATATATATATATATATATATATATATATATATATATATATATATATATATATATATAATCATGTGATTCAAAATAATCAATATATTATATCAATTTAGTATACAAATTATTATATCAAATTTAACAACACCGTTATTATTATATTTTAAAAAAATCAAATATCTATAAAAAACTTTAACTATATAGGTGTTTCAGCGTATTACATAGTCAACTAAAATATAAATTTCAGTTTCACTTAAAAAATCAAATAATATTTTTGTAAATAGTTAAAAGTGACAAATTGTAGTGATAAATGCAAAAATCAAATTGTAATCTCAATTTAACTAAAATATTTCTTAAAGATATTTCTATAAGCGTTAAAATATTCCAAATAAGTAGCTTAAAATAACTTATAATAACAATAATTAAAAATAAATCTATATAAATGATTATATTATTACTTTTAAAATAAAAAAAAATAATATTTGATGTTTTAAATAATTATAATGATAAAAATTAAAACATTAAACAAATAAATTTAAAAAAAATAATAATTAAATGTATTGATGTTTTTGCGCAATGCGCGGACATTCACCTAGTATTTTATAAGACACGCAAAACCGGAAGCCGTAATGGCAAAACAAGGAATTGACACGTGCTTTTATGTTATGCCATATTTGTAAATTTAAGATCAAAATTGAAATAACTTTGTGTTTACTTATTCAAAGCAACACAGGTATTATATATACTGAATATCAAACTCGTCAAAATCATGACATGCAACTATATACCCAAAGCGACGTGATCAAAGAAAACTTCAAACAAGTTGCATTTCCATATTCCCAGTCAGTGTCTTAAAATAAAATTAACAGATACACAAGTATAAAAGGGATTATAATCACAGGTCGTGCAAAAGCTTTTGATTTTGAGGTAAGATGCTAAAAGAAAATTTGCAAATAAATGTACCTGTGGTACTGTTCTTTTGATCTTCTTCGAGAACAGACCAAGAGGATTTGCAATAAGAATGAAAGGGTTTCTGGTATTGCATTTGCACTTAAATTTCAGTCTTCTATTTTTTAAGATTGTCATTGTATGTGCATCATTACAAAAAACAGTTTGATAAACATATATATATGTAAATTATTTAACATGTATTTTCCTTTGTGACTCTATCTATATTTTGTATTTTAATCATGATGTAGCATATACATTTTATAACACTTGTGCTTATTGGTCTCAAGCATCGAAATAGATGATTAGGATGAATTTAGGAATATAAGACTAGAAAGTAGCACTTGTCATAATACTCATAATCAAACCCAAAGAGACATCTAAACAGGTTCAAAATTGACAAAAAGGGTGCTTTAACAAATTATACTTTAACTAAATATTACAATTAAACTGGCATCACTAAAACTTAATTTACCTTCGGACTTTATTTTTTAGGGCGTTCGATAATGAACTTTGCTGCCGGTGATGCACGTGGTATTGGCAGAAATATCAAATCTCGAAGCATCTTATTTTCTTCATGCACAGTAACCAATCTATTGAGCTCTATTCGTGCTTTTTGAAGCAGAGGGGACTTAGCCATGATGAGTTTCACAATCTCCATCTCTAGAGTATAGTTATGGAAACTTATTATCTCCAGTTCTTTAAGATGAGCCAAGTTGAGATCCGAATACTCTTGAGGATCAAGCACAGTGTATTGCCTATCAGGACGAATCATCTAATCAGCAAAACATGTCAAAATTGTCAATAAAATTAATATCTATTACCCACATGTGATAACATGTAGTTTATATTTACCTTCAATTTAATGTACTCCAAATTTGGGGAGCTGTTGATCACACAGAGAATGGAGGAGCGCTCATCTTGGTTATGAAAACACACATGATCAAGAATAAGTATCCTCAAGTACACTAGTGACGTGGGGAGCTTCTGTGACATACCACCTGCAGCGAAGTGCTTTAACCAGATTCCAAAACAACGATTAAAACAAATTAAATATTCATTGCATGAGATAAAACTAACAATTTAAGTATTACCTTCATATAAACCCTCGAGAAGTTCACAGCCTGAATTAAAGGTAAACACTTGAACAACTCAACAAATGTAAACTTGTTTCCTCCTGTAAAGTCTGCTTGATGATTTCCAATCTGCATGGATCAAAAATAATTGTAAGAAGGTATTTAGTTGACGAAGCTACATATATAAGTAGTTATATGGACCTTACCAAGGTAATTTCCACAAGTAATGGGCAAGCAGTAAGAAATTGCTGAAGCATCTTGGCAGTGATGTTAACATAATAGAATCCTAGGCACTTCAACATACTAAATCCATTAAACATTAATGGAATCTCAATTTTACAATATAAAAGCTCTAGGCATTCTAATCCTTGCAATGAAAAGAATGAACACGGTAGCTTGTAAAATTTAAAACTTCTAAAAATGAAATTCTTGATATTCTTGCTCCATGAAAGATGAAGTATTATCTGGTCGATCTCATCAGCAATTTCTGCATTACTGATATACATACAGAGTTCCGATATCGGACCCTTGTGTAGTAACAAAACATGGAAGATGGCAATGACAAGCTTATATTTTTCGATTTCTTCTTCCATATTAGATGATAGTTTAACCATGTTGTCATCGAATACAAGATTCGGCATGCCTGTCCAGCAATACCTCCATTTCTTTGACAGAATGCTTGTCCTCAATGCATCTCGAATTGTCCTCAATAAAAAAGGGATGAAATGACATCCGGTGAACAAAACTTCTAACCAGAAGTGATAAAGAAACCATGTAGATGAAAAAAAAAATCAACTGCGAGTATGACTTCGCTATATCGATACTTAAAAAACCCCTCAAGTAATATTAAACATGAAAAATGGAAGCATATAAAAACTAGATTCAAGCTTCAAATGAACCGAATTTAAGCAAGTTGTACGATCAAAAAAATCATTAAAACAATATTTAATTTGTTTAGCTCCAAGGTTCCGGTGGGTGGGAGTTGAAGAGACCGCCGATGACAAGAAGCAATGGAAGTGAAGAGACGGTTTATGCCCTCCGTTTGACGATACAGTACTACAAAGGTCTCTCTCTCTCTCTCTCTCTCTCTCTCTCTCTCTCTCTCTCTCTCTCTCTCTCTCTCTCTCTCTCTCTCTCTCTCTCTCTCTCTCTCTCTCTCTCTCTCTCTCTCTCTCTCTCTCTCTCTCTCTCTCTCTCTCTCTCTCTCTCTCTCTCTCTCTCTCTCTCTCTATATATATATATATATATATATATATATATATATATATATATATATATATATATATATATATATATATATATAAAGTGTCGTTTACCTTTGCTAGGTACAAATATTGTTTTTTCAAAATTTAGTTTCTAGAGGCTTAGTGTTTTTGCACAAATACTCTACATCTAAATAATTATCGATAAGAGTCGTTGTTTTAAAATTTTCCTTAATTTTTATAATTTAACTTATTTCTTTTAGTTTGTTTAAGATTAATTTTTTTTAATTGGATGACATCTATTTTTTTAATAATTGTTTTAGGACTTAAATATTTTTGTTTTGGCATATGTTTTTATAAAGAAAAAAAACATTTTACAAATTGACATCCTACTTCTTGGTGGTAATTTTGAAAGAAGAGTTCTTTAGAGCAACACAAGGGTATCAACCCTAGTAATTAAATAAGCCATAATTAAAAAAAATTGAATAAGTTTCTACACATCGATATTTAATTTTCTTTTTAAACAAATATCTAACTAGGGGTGACAATTGATGACACGACACGACAAAAATACACGACACGAAACGAAATTGAAATTCGAATTCGAATTCGTGTTCGCGTCGTGTTCATGTCAGGTGCAAAAACACGACGTCGTGTCGTATCGTGTTCGTGTTCAAAATTTTACACGAAATTGACACGATTTAAGATTTTTTGTCATGTTTTTCGTGTTTGTCGTGTTTTTCGTGTTATGTATGAATAAATATTAATTAAATACATTAACTGTTATTTCATGTTATCCTTGTCATGTTGTGTCGTGTTTGTCATTTTTTAATCGGTTCGTTTTCGTGTTTGTTCAAAAAAACCCGAGATCGTGTTGTGTCGTATTCGTGTTACATAAAACATTGTCGTGTCGTGTCGTGTCAGACAAAAACACGACACGATGACTCGATTTGCCACCCCTATATCTAACAGGTTTAAAGATTGTTTCCGGTAATAAAAATTATGCAATTGATATATGTATTTTAATTATAGTTTTTAAGCTAACATTATCTATTCTTATATATAATTATTTTATTTCTAATTTGTTCATATGTTCTATTTTATTATCTTTTTACTTTTAATTTTTATAAGTGTAGTTAAAAGAAATTATATAACCTCAACTCAAATTTTAAAGAATAATTACAAAACAAAGAATGATAGATTCACCTTAAATAATTACAAACCACATTAAAATCATGTTCAATATAAAAATTCATATGATAAATAGTTACTTATGAATTTGAATTAAAATTATTTTTTATAGTGTTAGAAATCTTTTAACATGATATCACTTTAATATTTGAGATGTTAAAATACATTTTTAATAAGTAATTATAATTCCAACTAAAATCATGACACAAATAACAATTATTCTACTATACAAAACAGACATCTAGATAATAATTAAATCTAATTATCTTATTAATAAAGTTTTACTGAAAAAAAAAGTATATGATAACAGTCAACCAAATTTCACAACAATTTGCAAATATATGATAATACTAAATACAAAATTTATAACACATATGTTATCACCCATTAGACTAAAACATATATGTAAATTTCAGGATTTTCATTAAAATACACAATGGTTATTTTTATTGTGTCCCATAATATTTGCATGTCATTTATACTGACTGACCTGCAACAATGTATTAATAATAATGTTTAAATTTCTTATTTTCTTCATAAGATTTAAAAAAAAAAAATCAAGAGCCCTTTGTTTACAATCTGATCTTTTCACAAAATCACTAATAGACTCTAAATCCTCTACTTGAGCCACCTCAACAATTCACCTACAAATCAAAGAGTAATTTAGACATTTCATTTATAGTCAAACAACTTAACCATTACCTTGTCATTTTTAGCAGAAACCAATCCAAGAGAATCATTGAACTAATTCATCATGTATTTTGTTTTACAAGTTCCCAAAGCTCCAAATCATTATAAGTTTCATGAAGATACATCTCACTAATCACCTTTTAATGTATATCCCAAAGAGATGTAAACTTCTTATAAAAGAATATTCCAATTCTTTGCTATTGTATCTATTACCCATGTTTTATAGCCTACATATAAAATATTTACCACTATAAAAACCAAAATATTATAAAAGCATGATTACAAATCAAATAAAAATTACATATTTCCCTATGATTCTATTTATGTCCATCTTCTAAAAAATAAGCCAAAATGATTTAAGATAGTATATATATATATATATATATATATATATATATATATATATATATATATATATATATATATATATATATATATATATATATATATATATTACAAACTATAAAACTAAAGTATAATGATAAAGGCAATAAAAGTCTAAAATCTAAATGTTAAAACTATAATACGAAACATTTACAAATAAAAGGCTATAAATAAAAATATTATTATATAACTTTTGATATTCTAATTACCAGTAAGTCGATCAAAGTTTGTTGAAAAAAATCGATAAAAAATAGCATATTTCATCAAAACCCCATCAGAAAAAATAACATCAACATTAGGGGTAAAATCATCTATATACAGGCCAAAATATCATATTATCCTCTATCCAAACAGATAGAGAATACATCAAATATGAAGTAATGGTAGTTTTGTCCAAAACTTGAAATCATCATCAAATAGCATAAAAATCAACTACAAGGGCAAATCTGTCTAGTTTGATAAATGGGGAAACTTAAATTTAAACCTTGTGAAGAAAAAGAATACCCCCACGGTGAAATTGTAAAATTGTGCATTTTGCATTGACAAAAAAGATCGTCAAGAAAAGAGAAAAGAACCAAAACCAATATATTGCAATCAGTCAAAACATGCAAGGTGAAGGGTATAAAAGGAATTGTTTTTAAATATAATTATATTGATCCATATGAAAAACGGCACCCATAATTGATATCACTGAAAAGAAATATGATAACATAAAGGAAAGATAAAAGATGGAAGCGAAGATGTAGTAACTTTGTTGTGATTGTGTATAATAATCACTACCAGATCAAGACGGTTAGTGGAACCCAGGACAACATGTACATTGGGTTGAGCTTCACCATCCCAAATTAGAACCTGGTTTAAATATTGATTAATTAAAAATACATCTAAATGATAAAACTAAGAAATAAAGTAACTGGTAAATTTGTGACCTATGTGCTTTTTGTGTCTTTTGAGTTGTTACACAATCAGGTAATCTAGGAACATAAGGAACAACAAAATTATAAAAAAAAAAACCATTCACAATATTAAATAAACACTTAATATGAAACAACAGAACCTGAAATGAACCACTTAATATATAGTTGGGTAACTAAACTGCAATCAAACATCCAAAACTGAAAAGGAGATGCACACAAAACTTGATCCAAGCCTTATCTGTTCCAAGCATTACATAATATCCGAAGAATTCAAAGCTTAAAAATAATATGAAAACAAAAATGGATCCAAACATAATCTAGTCCAAGCATTACATAATTTCCAAGTAATTCCAAGCATGAACTAAAGCATAACATGTTCAAAATAAAATATTTAAGAAATCAAAAGATTCTTACCACTTAGAATTATGGGATGGCGTTAGTCTTCACCTGCAAGTGAGAAATCGATGTAACTACCAAATATGTAATGCTTGTAACAAAAAACCAAGGTTGCAAAAAACGCTCGATGTTAGTTAGTCGGTGGATTGGGGTCAATGGATTAATCGGCTAGGCAGAGATTAATCGAGGGATTTATCGGGTACCATTAATTGCTAATTTGTTGAATTTAAAAAAAATATGACTAATATCATACCAACGCTCGTAAATACCACTAATATGATAACAAAATAGATTAGTATGATTTATACAATACTAATCATGCCTCAAATAGTTTCCATTGAGATAAAACATATTCAAAATATTAAAATTTTATCATTTTATAATGTTTCACTCATTATGTATGCAGGCTAGGCGCCCTCTAATCGGTTGAGTAGCGCCTAGGGATTAATCGGGACCTAGTCGGGATTTTTACAACAGTGTAAAAAACAAACTCAACTTCATACTAATCTTTGGGCGGAATCGGATTATTGAAGATGAAGTTATGAGGCGACGTGAGAAAGCATGGATTCGATTTGTCTATACCTTGAACCGAGAAACCGATTTTAAATTCTTAACATGATCAAACTAAGAAACGAGAAATTATATACCCATCTTTTTTTTAATTAAGTCGATTACTTTGTACAAATGAGAGAAATCGGCATGGGTAAACTGATCGAACACTTTGCCAATTTTAGAACAAAGTGAAATTGATTGGCCCATTGTCTAGATTATGAAGGCGGTGAGGGTAGAAATACCAAGGTTCAACATAAATTGATCGGTGATAAAAGGGTAGTGGGTGTGTTTTAAACTGATTGGGTGGAT